AATTGCAGTTTAATTTTCACAGTGTCATAGATCTCTTGATTTTATAGGAAAAATGTAAAATAAGTTTTTTGTCTTAAATAGTTTCGAGGTCACCTATTGTCTTCGTTTTGAGAAAAATACAAAATCAATTTGGATATTAAACCTCGCGCGAGAATATGCCGTTGAGAACAGCACTTCAGCTACAGTTGCGCAGTCCCTATTAGACAAACATTTACCGTACATGTAGAAGTCACCGTGTCCGGGTTGCGATGCTCGATAAAATTGTGGTAGGGCGACTCGGCAGTGCGGCAGCGCCATTGCGTCTCTCTAGGCTGAGTGATTGTACAAGTAATGGGTCACCTCTGCAGCAATGCGCCAGATGGTCAAACACCAGTAAAGATCTTACTTGTAAAAAACCCTCTACACTGGACGGCGTCCTCTCTGTCTTTGTGAATGAAACTGGCACCGCTGTGGACGTAGAAAGGAGACACGGGCATCGCTTTGGTTACGGAATGAATGCTCAATGATCGGCCAGTTGTTGACACGTGAAGTATTATTTTTTTTACTCTCAAACGGCGTCGTTCTGCGGGCAGAAAGTCCAGTGTAAAGGGGGCTTAACGGAGGAGTACACGTATAAATTCCCTGTCAAGCTGTTACAAACCATTGTCACAATGTAGACATGATTTATGGAGTGTGTGTGTGTGTGTGTGTGTGTGTGTGTGTGTGTGTTTTTATAATTTATTTCCATAAGTCATAGCAGCAGCGATTGAGCAGCGGCGTTCCTGTCCCTAAAATTATTTTCCCTGTAGCAGACAGTGACAGGTGATTCCTTGGGCTTTTCTAACAAGAATAGAATATATTTGGTATCAAGCAAGGAGCAAGGGCTACATGAAATAAATGACTTCACATAATAAAGAGATTAAAAATAATAATACTGCGTGCACATCGTTTCCACACTCTTGTTCAGCTCGAACTCATATAAAGCAGGGAGAAATTGAAGTTATTTTAGCTGACCAGCAGGTGGGTAGCCAGGTAAATAGCAGCAGCAAACGTCGGGATGAATGACAAAATACTTTTGCCATGAATAAATGAACGTGAAGACAACAGGACAAAGAGATCGGCATGAAGATATAGGCTCTGTCCGCCAAAAAGCTGAAACCCCTGGATCTAACACGGCACGCTTGTGTAAATCACAATGGGAAATGTCCACATGGTGACAGCGCACAATAGACACGTTGACAAGTTGAAAAGCTGGACAAAGGTTCAAAAGCTCGTCGTTACGCTCAAGACATGTGTCCAAATGTGTTATGCAACTTTTTCTGCAGCAGAGCAAAATAGCTGGTTTACGGCGAAAAACGTGGCACCTGAAGGCATACATATACGGTACAGTTTCAACTGAAGCAAAACGAAGTCGGTTCATCTTTTTACCAGGCTTCAATAAGAACTGGATGAATAACAGTGTCCCGCTTTGCCAGCCCTTTCGTTTTTATTAGTCCAAGGCTAGGTACAAAACTTGCGTGGATTTTATACGGAATTAAAATAAATAAAAAAAATTGATAAAAACTTGAACTTTGTAGTTTGAAAAAAACTATTAAACTTTTGGTTTGAATGAGGTGTAAGGGATGTAAGTTAATGAGGCCATGTGGTACATGTTTCCCCCTTTTCAGTTCGTTTCACATTAAAGGGATAACAACTATTCGTATGAGATCCATATTTCACAATAAATACATTATAAACCACTCACAGAGATAATACAGATATATGACAAACTCTGTTTGACCAAGGTTGTCGCAATTATTCTGGAATCTGTGCATGTCATCGGATCACGTGCCCTCCATAGATGGCTACTCTCTGTAATAATCTCTTAAGTGAGTATAACAAAAAAAAACAAACTTTTTGGAAAAAAAACAAGCGCTAACTATAAATGTCAGGACGGATACATTAACCATTAAAAAGTATGAAAAAAGTGTCGTTTAACCCAGAGAAATCCATTTTGGTCAAAGAGAATAGTTGTTATTCCTTTAATAGTAAATTGAAAACCCTCTGCGGCCGAAAAAAAAGGTGCAGGCATTACCACGTTGCATGGCCGTGAAATGGAGGAGGTCGCGCCACAAGTCTTAAATTACTCAAGGAAATAACAGAAGAAAAATATTACAGTAGATTTTCTAAAAAATAGTTTATATACCTGTCATTTCAAAGCCGCCTTCTTACGTTGGATCTGTTAAAGGCCCCTGCCTACGCTAATAACAGTAAGACGTACAAGCTAACAAAGAGCAGCAAGAATTACCCAACCCATTTATCCCACATTAAACCTGACGATCACATTTCATACAGAAATTATACGCGGTCAACAGTGTCCCATAATAGATTTACACGTCTATGATACAAAAGATAATGTTCGGTGTCAGATTTTGAAGCCACTTTTATGCTTGTATACAGTATATATATAAAGGTTTATCTGGCTATAAGGCATGACTTCATATGTCTGAACCATAAAGTTTTTCAGGATGCATTTGGATGAATTTCTGAAGGTAGTTGGCGAGTTCGGTCCTTACCAAAAACGGCAGTATGTCTTGGTATGCTTGGTAAGCTCGTACGCTGCAGTCGTTATTTTCAGTCTCGTCTTCTTTTCGGTGGCACCGGAGCACCATTGCACAATACCGGCTGAATACAAGGAACTTTCCCAAAAACTTTATGGCGAAAATGTCTCGGAAGAAAAGATCTACAACATGTCCATACCTTGGGTGGAAGGAAAAAATGGAATATTTGAGAGGAGCAGCTGTTTCCTCATCTCACTGAAGAATTATGAAAATAATTCGAGCATTGGGAATACCACGATACCGCTGAATACGTCCGTGGCGGACGCCTTCGAACAAAAGTTTAGCGTAGATAACCAAACATTTGAAGCGTGTCCAGAAGGCAGGACATACAGCCAAAAGACCTACGCGTCAACTATAGTATCTGAGGTACGTACAAGGGAAGGGTATTTTTCAACCCTGACCCTCCTTAAACCCCTTCTTAATATTTTGTCTGATACTAGAAATACTTAAATTTGCAAATACTTTAAAACGGAATGTTTAAGGTTTAAGACTGGCCGCTACCGCGCTACTGCCAAAGATGACGTGGAGAATGTATGTCAGTGTTTCTTGTGATCTGTAGATCGTGATCGTGAAAAAGCTTAAAACAAATCGAGAGAAAAATATTTTAATCACAGAAAGAAAAGAACAAAAAGTAGAAAAATATGTGAGAAGAATAAAGCAATAATAATAAGAAGAATAAAAGTGCAAAGTCTGCATGTCAGGAGTTACCTGTTTCAGTATGGCGGCACGATGGTGCTGGGAGTGTTTAGGACTTTATGGGCGTATTCCCAGAGCTTTTAGATCGATCTATCCCCGCGGGGAGTCTCACTGTTAGACTACTGTTGGATAATCCGGCTTAAATGTCCGTCCCGCCTACTACAAGCTGTAAGGAGGTAATTAAATTTCGTGCCCGCTCGGCTGACAGCTATTTAGCGAGAACCCCCAGGGAGTTAGGTCGATCTAAAGTAGATCGATCTAATCTTTGGGAATGGGGTCTATGAGACCCCCGCCCTATAAAAGGCAATACCAAAGTACGTGTCCGCACAAGTAAAGCCCCCTTTACACTGACGGCGTCCTTTCTGCGTCCCGTAGTATGAACCCGTTTGAGAGTGAAAAATATAATACCTTACATTCCGACAACTGACTGATCATTGAGCATACATTCTGTAACCAAATCGATGCTTGTGTCCCCTTTCTACGACCACAGCGATGCCAGTTTTATGGTCGCAGAAAGGACGCCGTCCAGTATAAAGGGGGTTTAAAAGTGCCTCTTCCAGCCATTTATATCCATGTGTCTTGTAATAATAGCATATCACCACACCCACGCCGGAGCCCAGACACCGGCATCATGGAATTCATGCCTCGAAGCGATTGTGTTGTTGTGTCGATAATTTTATGATGTTGATATGGTTGTCATTTATTAGTCCGCCCCCTTCTGTTCACAAAATAGAAATTAAAGTATTTTAGACGTCACCGAACAGAATGCAAGGGATACCTCATTATTGCTGCAAATGCAGTTTCTACATGATATTATAGACAGAGAATAGCACTTTTGCAGATGAGTTGCATAACAACCCATTTAAGCAATTATGCTCTGATTAGGCCCGTAGCCGGGGGGGGGGGGGGGGGGGGGGGGAGATTCAAAAAAACCCCCTTTTTTGGGGGAAAAAGGCCCCCTCGGGGAAAATTTTGTT